CATTGAATCTGTGTAGCAGTTTTGGTAGTATGGCCATTTTCACTATGTTGATTCTTCCTACCCAGGAGCAGGGGATATCCTTCCATTTTCTTATATCCTCTTTGATCTCTTTTTTCAGAGTGATGTAGTTTTCAGTATAGAGGTCTTTTGCTGCTTTTGTTAGATTGATTTCCAGATACTTCATTTTTTTGGGTGCTATTGTGAAAGGAATTGTTTCCCTAATTTCTCGTTCAGTGAGTCTGTTATTTGTGTACAAGGTGGCTATTGATTTTTGGGTATTGACCTTGTATCCTGCTACTCTGCTAAAAGTGTCAGTTAAGTCAAGAAGTCTTTTCATACCTTCTTATTTTTATGTCCCTAATATACTTCAGTACACATGTCCTAAGAAAAATAAGAACATCAGCTTGTGAACTTTTTCTTTCTTTTCTTTTTTTACATAGTGACACGTATGCTGATACTGTTTATATAGAGTACTGATTTTTTGAGGCTGAAAGCTTACAGGGTCAATTTCTTGGCATATGTATAACCCTTTTCTATAATATTAGTATGTTGTGTGAGGGGAACCTGTGACCTAAATTTTGAGTCGTTCTGTGTGTAGAAGTGGTGATGATATTCACAGTAATTATCTATTAGGAAAATTAAATGAAATGGCTAAAGGGGAAGTGGGAAGGAGAAGGGAAAGGAAATAAGGGAAAGAAAAATGTGGGAAAAAAAAGGAAAAAATGGAAACAAAGTCTTTGTAAATAAGGTGAAGGAGGTGAAGGGAGGACAGGGGTATGGGGAAAAGTAAAAACCAAGATAAATCATGTAAAGGTACCAGGTCCCAATGATAAATGTGACTGTATTGTTTGCTTTAAATGTACCAATAAATTTAATGGGGAAAAAAAAGAAAATTAAATGAAATAGTATATGTAATGCTGCTTAATACATTATACTCAGTAAGTGAGCTTTTGTGTATTAAGAAAATAAGTTGTCAGAGTTAAAATATTTTCTCCTATTTTTTAATGTTGTTAAAAGTTTTTAAATCCTTTTTTGCTTATATCTGTCAAGCAAACACAGAGCTACCCCTCCCCATCAATTAACTCTTCTCATGTTTTTGTTAAATATATTTCTGGAATCAGTATTTTATACTTAAATAACTTGTTCATTTTTTTTAAACAGTGAGAAGTCAGTGTGTTTTTAAAAGAGACATATAGAATATTCAAAAACGAAACTGAATTATCCAGATAATTGTTAATGACTTTTCACTCATATGTCCTTTCTTTTTTCTATAAAGCTTTGTTTTATTCTGGAAAATTCTTAGACATTCTTTAGGAATTCATTCAGATATTTCTTTGAGAAAGCCTTGTTTCTATTGTTAGATTATATACGATACCATTACTTCCATGAGGAAAATACAGTCTTACTCATATTTTTATCTTTAGGCCATATCATAGTGTCCAAACGTAGTATGTAGATGGTAATAGTTTTCAAAAATACTTCCAGATGAGTTTACAAATAGTATGTGAGATGGCTGTGTACATGTTAGATGCAATATATTGTTTATACATTTATCCTTTCAGTAGTTTTGTGTAACTTTCCATTTTTTGTAATATTAACTCATGAAAGTATCTTATAAGTCGGTGAAGTCCAAAATAAAGATGTTTAAGCAAAAGAATGATCTAGTCTTTAAATAAGGAAAGCAAACTTGTAATTCGCTGCTGTCTTATATTTGGGCAACAAGTATGTGATTTTAATTGCAGTCTGTCTATGAAACCTTATAACTTACTTTACACGTGGAATATGAATTGTTATACATTTGGTTTCAGTCAGATCCAAGTATTTGAGTTTGTAAAATATTTCAGTTCCTTTGAAGTCTGACATGAGTATATGTTATTGTAACTGAGAATCTTTTTTTGCTTTAGGAATTTAAAGGTTTCCTGGAAAGAAATGATGTGGAGGCTAGTAGATAGGAAAAAATAAAAAATGTCCTCCTTCTGGGATAAGACAGTGCAAAGATGGCACCTTCTACTGAGAAGAGTTTTGGGGAAGCACTGTAGGATGTGATAAAGAATTAAGGATTTAATTTAGAAATATTTGTTTTAGATGCGTATGATTTAAACAGATTGAAATATAAAGTAGGCTATTTGACATACTAACTTGTAATTTAAGAGTTCTGGTCTGGGAATATGTCTGTGGCATTTTGGTAATTTTGGCTGTGGACTGATGTACAGCCTAGAGAGAAAGTATGCTATAAGAGGAGGGAGTCTAGAAATTCTTTAGAGATACTTTTATTTGACATGGTCTTGCTAAATTGTCCAGGCTGGTGTAGCTTTAATCATCTAGCTTAAATCACCCTGGATTTGAGCCCCAGTATGTACTGGGAGAAAAATAAAGGAAAGTTTCCAGTGATTCTGTGAAGTCTAGTTATGAGGTTAGAAAGTACCCATTGAAGAGGCAATGAGGAATTTTATATGACCTAATCTAGAGAAGTTTAACTGGAGTGGTAGGAACAGGGCTCATATTGGAAAGAACTGAAAAAAAAAGAATGTAAAGTCAACTTACATGTAGTTTGGGTTTCAAGAAGACCAGACAGTCTTAATTTTGTTGTTATCTGTTTCAAAATGAAGTTTTTTTGGAAGTTAGAACCAGAGAGTTTGTGTGGGCAAGCAGAGGTGTAGAAGTAGGAGGTTTTAGAGTTTACTGGAGAAGGCAAAAGGATTGTGAGCAATGTCGATTACCTATTTGAGGTTTTTGATGATGACTAATTTTGCCATTTTTGTCCAGTTTTCTTTTCTGGGACTTAAGTGTACAGATATGGAAAAAATAAGTGTCTGCTCAGCCAGGATTACAGCTTTGCCAGATTACTACAGGGAAGAGAAGTGAAAGAAAACTAAGGGTATTTGCAAGGGAGTATTTACAACAACAATCTGTGGAATTCTAAACTAGTTGAAGAAATTAAAAATGAGAAGAGCTCAATGTGGGTGGGTAGTGGTAGAACTGATACATTTAAAGTTTGGGTTTGTTTTGTCATATTTTGTTTTGCAGTACTGGAGATTGAACTCAGGACCTTGCGCTTGTCAGGCAGGTGTGGTGCGACTGAACTAAATTTGCAGCCCTTAAGTTTTGGTTTTGATTAAGAAAAAAATAGTTTGGCTTTGGGGATTCTTGGCCAAAGCCACTGAAACATTAAAAGGTTATTGTTAGTATAGATTAAAAGTGTCTAAATTTTGTCCTTCTTTTCACTGAGGAACTGAGATTGGGATAGTGTGTCTCGGGGCAGTAAGGTTAGGGTTTTTAGCAGTGGTGTTGTGCCCAAAGTGGACTGTTTGTTTCTATTGAAATTTCTAGAAGGTTCCCCATCACTGGAGTAAGTGATGCTATTAAGGGACTTTAAGCTCAAGATTAGTTCAGGTAGATGTTGAAGTTACTGAAGAGCAGTTGAGCCAATGTTCAAGTCTTCTGTAATAGACCAGAAGATAAAAAAAATGACTTCAGCAAGAAAAGGAGGGCAGGTATCAGTAGTGACTGATTAAATGAGAGTATGATATTTATGAAAATGGGATGATATTCTTATCCTTAAGTTCAGCAGCTAATGCCACTATAATTTAATACTTGTAAAAACTCTAAACAGTTGATGGGTTAACACATTATTAGGCTAGGTAGGCTAAAGCTGGTCAAGCCATTCAGTGTTTATTAAACTCTGTTGTGTCCTGCAGAGCACCAATATTGTCTTTTCATAGCTTTGTTGTGTTTTCCTGGCATCTGGACTTGATTGACTAGCTCAGGGTATTGCAGTTGTGTATAAGTATGGGTCATTTGCACAATAGGCAGAGCCCACAGTTTGTTTGTTTGTTTTAATGCCTCTTATCTGACAAGTTTAGAAAAAGCACTATTTTGGATTTCAGTATACCTAGGTTTACATAAAATGATGCTGTTACTGATTGGTTTTTGGTTTTCAACTCACATAACAATCTTTCTGAACCTAAAATTCCATGATCTGTAAAAAGTGACAGTACTATCAATAGGATTTTTACAAGATTTTGAAAACAACATCAAGCCCTTCATAGACCCACACTTATTTGTTTGCCTTAACCCTAGTACCTTTTAATTACCTAATGGCTTTCTTTTTTATACTTATTGTATAATATTATAATTTATGTGATGCTGCTAATATGTCTATGAAATTTCTATTTGGAAATAATTAACAGCTTTTTGGGGGGTGGGGGAGTACTGGAGATTGAACCCAGGGCCTTCACACTGAGCTAAATCCCCAGACCTTTATGTTTTGTTTTGCTTTGTTTTGAGACAGAGTCTAACTACATTGCTAAATTGTTCAGGCTGGGCTTGAACTTGGAATTTACCTATCTCAGCCTCTCGGAGGATGGGGAATCACAGGTGTGCACCGCCATGCTCAGCCAGACTGTTTTATTTAAACAGTGCTCTTAGTCACTTGTTTAACAAGTACATTAGAATCACTCAGAAAATTTGCCTTTGATTTCATAATAAAATGGTTATAATTTTTTGTATTACAAGCCATTGCTATTTTAATCATTAATAAAATACTTTCAGTAAAGCAGCGCTCCAACCCTTAAGTTCTCTTTCCAACACCATAGTGTTTAACTGTTAAGTAAATTGAGGCATATAATGTTCTTGTTATTAAAAAAAAAAAAAACTAGAAAATCTATCCTTTACATATGAATTATTGTGAGGATCATAATTTTCTCAGTGAAAAGTATACTGTGGATCTGGCTAGCATAATCTAAACTTTTGTTCTTTTATCTTATGCTCTATGTCTTCTTCAGTTTTAGTTTCAACTGAACATATACGAAGTCTGGGGTTTGTTTTTGTTTTTTTTGCTTTTTTGGTATGTGTTCCTAATTTGAGGTTTCAAGTTCAAAAATGACTTTAAAATATGTGCCATTTCATAGCAGCTTTGTTCTCTGTTTAGAGAACCAGGTAGGAGTTTAAAATATAGAATTAATAGGAAATTCACTTGTTTCTCTTGTTTTTACTAACAGGGCTGATGGTGTTATGAGAACAATGAACACAGAAAAACTCTTAAAAACTGTACCAATTATTCAAAATCAAATGGATGCACTTCTGGATTTTAATGTAAGTTGGTTATAATTTTGTGATTTAAGATTTTTAAAAATTAGATCATCATAAACGGATTAATTTTTATTATCAACTACTCATAGACTTGACTTTTCACACTGTCATATCCATCCTGTTTGACTAAAGATTTTCTGTAAATGTGGTCCTAAGTCATTACTGTTCAGCCTTATGTTTTAGATTGACTCTGAATTTAAGTGCTTCTTTTCTAGTGTTAGAATTTTAGCTGAAAAGAAAATTGATGGAGGGATAAAGGAATTTATTTGAAAATGTACTTTCTTTGGATAATGGCTTTGAGATTTTAAAATATCTAATTTTCTATATGAGTGGTCACCATTTATAATAGTTTGTTACGTGTTGCCCATTGTGTTCCCTGGAATTTTTTATTTTTATTAAATTTATTGGTACATACTAGTTATACAGTACAGTTACATTCGTCATTGGGTTCTTGTACCTTTACATGATATCTTGGTTCTTATTTTTCCCCACTCCCTAGCCCTTCCCTCATCCCTTCCTCCCTTCCCTGTTTACAAAGACCTTGTTTCCATGTTTTTCCTTTTCACATATTTTTTCTTTTCCTTTTTACCTTTCCCCTATCCCTCCCACTTCCTCTCCTCTTTTAGACTTCTCTTCCTATTACACACTATCATTTACACATTTTAATCATTATTTATACTTCACACTAGAGAAACTATTCAGTATTTACACATGTGTGACTTACTAATTTCACTTGAGTATGGCCTCAATGTGCATCCACTTAGCTATAAATTTCTCTAGTTTCTTGTTCTTTATGGCTGAGTAGCACTCCGTTTTATAAAATTACCACATCTTTATGCAGTCTCCAGTTGATGGGCAGTTGGGCTGTTTCCAAATTTTAGCTATTACACACTGTGTCGCTATAAACATGGCTATGATTCTTTTAATTCTTTTGGGAAGATACCCAGCAGAGGAATAGCTGGGTCAAATGGGACCTCTCTAATCCTAGTTTTTTGAGGTATCTCTATGTTGATTTCCACAGTGGTTTCACCAATCTGCACTCCCACCAACAATGGAGAAGGGTTCCTTTCTCCCCACAACCCCCCCCCCGCATTTGTTATTGGTTGATTTCTTGATAGCAGCCATTCTTTGTGGGGTGAGGTGGAATCTCAAATGTTACTTTCATCTGCATCTCTTGAATGACCAGTGATGCTGAACATTTTTTCATATGATTATTTTCTACTTTTACTTGTTTGTCTGAGAAATGTCTGTTCATTTCAGATGCCTCTTTTTGAATCGGGTCTTTATATTTGGGAGGTCTGATTTTTTTGAGTTCTTTATATATTCTAGATAATACACTTTTGTCTGAGGAACAGCTGGTAAAAACTTTTTCCCACATTGTGGGTTGTCTCAGCTCTGCTAGTGATTTCTCTGTCAGTGCAGAAGCTTTTTAAAAAACTGAGATTCCAGTCATTGATGCTTTGTGCTAGATCCTGTGCTACTGAGGATTTGTTTATAAATTCTTTTCCTATGCTGATACCTTCAAGAGTTCCACGTAACTCATCTTCTAGCAAGTTTAGTGTTTCTGTTTTAATATTTAGATCATTAATTGACTTGGATTTTAGTTTAGTGCATGGTGAAGGATAGGGATCTAGTCTTAATCTTTGACAAGTTGAAATCCAGTTTTTCCAGCACCATTTATTAAAAAGGCTATCTTTCCTCCACAGAGGGTATTTGGCTCCTTTATCAAAGATTAGGTAGTTGAGTATGTCAGGAGATGTTTCTGAATCTTCTAATCTATTCCACTAATCCTTGTTAGTCTGTTTCTTTGCCAGTATCATGGTGTTTTTATTTATTTTTTGGGGGGGTACCGGGGCTTGAACTCGGGTCCTTGCGCTTGCAAGGCAGGCCACCAAACCGCTGAGCTAAATTCCCAGCCCCTACCATGGTGTTTTTACCACAGTGGTGATGCAGTGTAGTTTCATATGGGGTATTGTGATAACCCCTGCCATGTCTCTGTTAACCTAGAATTGCTTTTGCTATTCTAGGTCTTTTCTGATTCCAAATGAATTTTTTTTTTAATTTTATTGAGTTTATTGGTAGATTTTAGGGATACAGTACAGTTAGTTACATTCATTGTTGGGATAATGTACCTCTACATGGCAAGTCTTGATTCTCATTTTTTCCCCTTACCTCTGCCCTCCCTTCCCCCCCTCCTCCCCTCCCCATCTACAAACACTTTATTTTCATCTTTTCATTCTCTCACATTTTTTTCTTTTCCCTTTTTGTTCTTCCTCTACCCATCACACCTTCCCTACACCTTTAGCTCCTTTCTTCCCATTTCTAAATGTCAGTAATCTTATTAGATTCTTATGCATTGTTGCAGATTATTCACACCAGGGAAACTATTTGGTATTTACACATGTGTGACTTATTTATTTCACTTAGGAGTATATCTTCAATATGTATCCATTTTCCTATGAATGAATCTATTCTCTCGCTCTTTATGGCTGAGTAATATTCCATTTTATAGAAAAACCACAACTTCTTTATCCAGTTTCCAACGGATGGGCAAATGGGCTGTTTCCAAGATTTAGCTATTACAAACTGTGCCGTTATAAACATGGGTGCACATACTTCTCTGTGATATGATTCTTTTAGTTCTCTTGGAAAGATACCCAGCAGAGGGATGGCTGGGTCAAATGGAACCTCCAGTCCAAGCTCTTTGAGATATCTCCATATTGATTTCCATAGTGGTTGCACTAGTCTGCACTCCCACCAACAATGGAGAAGGGTTCCTTTCTCCCCACAACCCCACGAACATTTGTTATTGTGTGATTTCTTGATAGCAGCCATTCTTTGTGGGGTGAGGTGGAATCTCAGTGTTGTTTTCATCTGCATCTCTCGAATGACCAGTGATGTGGAACATTTTTTCAAATATTTTCTTGCTGCTTTTACTTCTTTGTCTGAGAAATGTCTGTTCATTTCGGATGCCCATTTTTGAATCGAGTCTTTATATTTGGGGGGACTGATTGTTTTGAGTTCTTTATATATCCTTGATAATAGTCCTTTGTCTGAGGAACAGCTGGTAAAAATTTTTTCCCACATTGTAGATTGTCTCTTAGTTCTGCTGATGGTTTCTTTTGAAGTACAGAAGCTTTTTAGTAAGATGAGATCCCAGTTGTTGATTGTATCTGCTAGTTCCCGTGCTACTGAGGATTTGTTCATAAAGTCTTTTCCTATGCCAATGTCTTCCAGAGTTCTGCCTAACTTACCTTCCAAATGAATTTTTGGATTGTTTTCCCTAGTTCTTTAAAATAGTGTTGGGATTTCAATAGGGATTGCATTGAATCTGCATAGCAGTTTTGGAAGTATGGCCATTTTCACACTATATTGATTCTTCCTACCCAGGAAGAAGGGATGTCTTTGGATCTTCTTATATCCTCTTTGATCTCTTTTTTCAGAGTTTTATAGTTCTTAATGTAGAGGTCTCGTTTCCTTTGTTAGATCGATTCCTAGATATTTCTTTTTTTTTTTTAATGCTATTGTGAAAGGGATTGTTTCCCTAATTTGCCTCTCAGTGAGACTGTCATTTGTGTACAAGAAGGCTATTCATTTTTCAGTGTTTACTTTGTATCCACCTACTCTACTGAATCTGTCAATTAAGTCTAGAAGTCTTTTGGTGGAGTTTTTTGGGTTTTCTATGTAGAGTATCATATCATCAGCAAATAATAATAGTTTAACTTCTTCCTTTCCCATCTTTATAACTGTTATTTCTTTCACTTGTCTAATTGCTGTGGCTAATGTTTCCAAAACTATGTTGAACAGGAGTAGTGACACTGGACATACTTGTCTCGTTTCTGATTTTAGCGTGAAGGTTTTCAACTTTTGACCATTTAACATGATGCTGGCTATTGGTTTTCCATAGATAGCTTTTATGAAGTTAAGACAAAGACCATCTATTCCAATTTTCTGCAGGGTTTTTAATCATGAATGGGTGTTGAATTTTGTCGAATGCTTTTTCTGTTTGTCGAGAGGATCATATGTTTTTTGTCCTTGATTCTGTTAATATAGTGTCTTACATTTATGGGTTTACGTTTGTTGAACCACCCTTGCATCCCTGGTGTAAATCTGACCTGGTCAGGGTACATGATCTGCTTGATGACCCTCTGTATTCTGTTTGCCAGTATCTTATTGAGGATTTTTACATCTGTGTTCGCTAGGGAGATTGGCCTGTAGTCCTTTTTTGGTTGGGTCTTTCCCTGGTTTTGAAATTAAAGTAACACTTGCTTCCAGGAATGAATTTGGAAGCATTGCTTCCCTTTCAATTTCATTTTAGAGTTTAAAGAGTATTGGCAGTAGTTCTTCTCTGAACGTCTTGTAGAATTCAGCAGTGAAGCCATCAGGACCTGGGCTTTTCTTTGATGGTAATTTTTTAATTACATTTTCAATTTCACTGACTGTAATTGGGGTGTTTAGAATTTTATATCTTCTTCATTCAACTTTGGAATTTTTTTTACAATGACCATTACTTACCAGCATTCATCTATTGTGTGGTTTGATACTTCTGGATTCAAGTTGGCAATATTTATTTAAAAATAAAATGTGTAGGGCCAGGGATTTAGCTCAGTGGTTCCACCACTTGCTCCATTAAGTATAAGGTCCCAAGTTCAATCCCCAATACCAAAAAAAAAAAAAAGTTTAAATCCTTTAAACCAATATATTACTTTATTACATATTAACCCTATAGAAGAAATGTTTACAGCTAAGCATAGTAGCACACGCCTTTAATCCCAGCACTCAGTAAACTGAGGCAGAAGGATCATCACAAGTTTGAGGCCAGCCTGAGCTCCATGGTGAGTTTAAATTCAGCCTGAGCTACATAGAAAGATACTGTCTCAATTAAAAAAACAAACAACTTTACAAATTAGTAGATACAACAAAGTCTTTAGTACAGCACTGTTCAGAATCCAAAATCTAAATATAATACCTACTGTTTGAAAGAACAGGTAAATTGTTGTACACAAAGTATAACACAAGCATTGGAAAGGATAACTTTATACAGATAATGAACAAAGTAGTAAGCAAAAAAAAATTTATGGTTGGATCCTGGAGCCACTATATCAGTGGTGGCAAACCTATAACACATGTGTTGCAACAGGCTGTTTGCCATCATTGAAAGCTCTAAAAAGGTTTGCCATCACTGCTGTATACAAATTAAAATAAGGCGCTGTAATTTTATCGGTCTGTCTTCCAGAATAGGAATCAGAAAGTTGTTTTTTGTTTTGGAGGAGATAAAAGGCCAAATAATAATTATTTTAGATTTTGTGGGCTATGTGATCTCAGTTTCAGCTATTTAATTCTGCTATTGTAACATAAAAGCAATCATAGTAATGAACTTGCATATGCTCCAATAACACTATGGTAAACACTCAAATTTGAATGTCATATAATTTGCACATGTCACAAAAGAGTTTTGAAATTTTTTCAGCCATGTGTGGCAAAACCACATCTTAGCTAGCAAACCACATAAAAACAGGCAATGAGTTAGTTTGATAACCTTGTTCTAGACTACAAAACACTCACATTTCATTTAATTAACATTTACTGAATACTTGGTATTTGCCGTACATCCTTGAGGAATGGGGATAGAGCAGAGAACAAGGGTCACTTGCTTTCTACTTAAAGATACTTAAAGACTAAGAATGTAAGTTAAAAAAAATTAATTTGATTGTGAAATTGTCATAGTCCCATTTACTACCTTGCACTTAAGAAATGCCTGAGGGGAGAGAAGGGGAAAGGAGGGTAAAGTAGAGGAGAGGAGGGAAAGAGAGAGATAGGAAAAGATATTAGAGGTGTAACTATTTGTAACACCGTACAAACATGGCAATGCTGGTAAGTAATGGTCATTGTAAAAAAAATTCCAAAGTTGAATGAAGAAGATATAAAATTCTAAACACCCCAATTACAGTCAGTGAAATTGAAAATGTAATTAAAAAATTACCATCAAAGAAAAGCCCAGGTCCTGATGGCTTCACTGCTGAATTCTACAAGACGTTCAGAGAAGAACTACTGCCAATACTCTTTAAACTCTAAAATGAAATTGAAAGGGAAGCAATGCTTCCAAATTCATTCCTGGAAGCAAGTGTTACTTTAATTTCAAAACCAGGGAAAGACCCAACCAAAAAAGGACTACAGGCCAATCTCCCTAGCGAACACAGATGTAAAAATCCTCAATAAGATACTGGCAAACAGAATACAGAGGGTCATCAAGCAGATCATGTACCCTGACCAGGTCAGATTTACACCAGGGATGCAAGGGTGGTTCAACAAACGTAAACCATAAATGTAAGACACTATATTAACAGAATCAAGGACAAAAAACATATGATCCTCTCGACAAACAGAAAAAGCATTCGACAAAATTCAACACCCATTCATGATTAAAAACCCTGCAGAAAATTGGAATAGATGGTCTTTGTCTTAACTTCATAAAAGCTATCTATGGAAAACCAATAGCCAGCATCATGTTAAATGGTCAAAAGTTGAAAACCTTCACGCTAAAATCAGAAACGAGACAAGTATGTCCAGTGTCACTACTCCTGTTCAACATAGTTTTGGAAACATTAGCCACAGCAATTAGACAAGTGAAAGAAATAACAGTTATAAAGATGGGAAAGGAAGAAGTTAAACTATTATTATTTGCTGATGATATGATACTCTACATAGAAAACCCAAAAAACTCCACCAAAAGACTTCTAGACTTAATTGACAGATTCAGTTGTTAATAATATGCCTATTTTTCTTCTCAGTAATGAGTAATATTTGTTATTTTTTTATATGATCTGAAGTGTAAGACAGAACGCTTTCATAATGTAACTTGATTATTGGTTTTAGTGTGTCTTATAGTGAACTTCTTTTCACCTATTTAGCCTTTTTTTTTTTGTTTTGTAAATTATCTTTGACCTACTTTATTATTTGAATTCTCCTTCTGAAATGGAAATTACGTATATAAGATATTCTGCAGTTCCGGTTTGTTGTTTACCAAATTTGTGCTTATGTTTAACAAGTATTGATGTAAAAATAATTAGGTAAATCTTTAATGAGTTAAAACAAATTTCTGGCTGGCTGTGAGCTTTATTATACTATTGGAATTATTTAATGTTGTAATGAATTTGATATAGTTCAGGAATTTCAAGAGTAAAAAGACAACAGACATTAATACTTTTCCTCTTACAATGTATTTCTGAACTAAATTTAATTTTCAAAAATTGAAATTTGTTTGCTTTTGGCTTTTAAATAAATCTGAACTCTTAAGTTTTTTGGCAGTATTTGGCTTCCAATTCTGAGAAATCATAAAACTCATATTGAGAAACACATAGTGTATATTTTAGACAAAATAAGTATATTTTTCTCTAATATGCCTTAAATATTTGAGTGTATTATATTTTGATGTGAAGGAAGCCTTTTTTATTGTTATTTAGTTAATTAGCTAATTTAATTTTCCATTTTTTCTCCAGGTTAATAGCAATGAACTTACCAATGGGGTAATAAATGCTGCCTTCATGCTCCTGTTCAAAGATGCCATTAGACTATTTGCAGCGTATAATGAAGGAATTATTAATCTGTTGGGTAAATACGGCTCTAGCCTCATAACATTTTGTTTTTTATCTTGTCATGTGGGTAAATAACATTAACTGAGTTCATTTAAAAGCTACCTAAAATTTATTTACTTAGGTTCATTCATTTAATAATTATTTAGAAAAATTGTATATATGCATATGCAATGATTTAATATTTTTACCATCTGAAATTTAACTAGGTGGACTTTAGATATTTAGACATAACTTTTTTGCAGCCATTTCATTATGTTTTAGAAATATCATTGTCTTTCCTCCAAGATGGTGAGGACTGAGCCAGAAGCCCTCAAAGGCTAATAAGCACATGCACTACCACTGAGGTATATCCCTAGACCCTAAATTTAATTTTAAAAATCAGTAATAATTTTAAATGTATCATGCATTTTGTTTTGGTTTGGTTTGGTTTTTTTGAGACGGGGTCTTACTATATAGTTGAGACTGACTTGGAACTCACTATGTAGCCCAGGCTGATCTTGAACTCCTAAGGATCCTCCTGCCTCAGCCTCCCCATTGCTGGTATTACAGGCATGCACCACCACGCCCAGCTCAAGCATTTGTTTTTATGGGTGCCTTTTAAGCTTGAGGTATTTTAGGAATTGGTGGTATTTTCTTATGGTTCAGTATGGGTAAATTTTTGCCTAGAAATTTTCATTTATTGAAGTGGCATTTGGGTGGAGTAGAAAAATAATTTCAGAGTGTACCAAAGTATCCAGAGTCAGATGTGAAGTACTTTTATTCCAGTGTGCTGGTTCTCACCTATTTCCCCCTTTAGAAAAAAAAAATTTTTTTATATGAGTAAATTCTTTTTTTTTTTTTTTTTTTTTTAAATTGAATTTATTGGTACATTCTAGGTAGACAGTACAGTTACATTCATTACTGGGATCTTGTACCTTTACATGCCATGTCTTGATTCTCATTTTTTACCCTTGTCCCCACCCTCCCTTCACCCCCTCCTCTATATTTTTTTTTAATCTCTTTTCTGCATGCTAGGATAACACAAATTTATTCAGAGGTGCTTTGATCTGTAAAAAATAAAAGTTTATGTGAGCATAGTCTTCCACTCTGTGATTGGTATAAATTAGAAGCATCACTGCTATCTCATACAAAATTTAAATGGACTTTTCAGGTGGCGTTTAAACACAGTAAAGTAGTAATTTTAACATCTTAATAATTACACTGTTAATAAAAATATTTGGAAATAGGTAGTATTTTAAGTACAGTAAGGTATAATATGTTTTTATGCAAATATTTATGAAACAGAAGTAGTATTGAGGAACAAACTAGTAATATGAACAAAGTCAGATAATTTTTGTATCTTTAATATAATATCACCTGTCTTCTAATTTGCTTTAAATATCTAAATTGATTTAATACTGGTGTTTGTGTTGTAGGGTTATGTTTTCTGAGAAACCTATGCAATTATTTTGAAGACATTACCTGATTTTTTTCCTTTTTAAGTATTGCATTTTGATGTAAATAAAAGGGTTTTTTTATACTTTTGGCAGAAAAATATTTTGATATGAAAAAGAACCAGTGCAAAGAAGGTCTTGACATCTATAAGAAGTTCTTGACTAGGATGACAAGAATCTCAGAGTTTCTCAAAGTTGCAGAGGTAAAGTACCTTTCAGGGACTGTGACCCCTACATATTTTTCTGTTTTGTCTATGTGCTTGAATTTTTGAAGAAATTGTTTATTATCCAAATGAAAGGAATGCTTTCAATATAGTAAGGTGTTTATTCAGTCATATTAATATGCTATGTTGAATTCTGTGTATATGCATGTGATAAATGAATAAAATATGTACTGTATATTTAATTTAGAATGGGATATTAAGTAATGTTTTAAAATTTACTTCTCTGTAAGTAGATGGTACACTGGTAGCATTGGCTAGTATGTCTGGAATTAGCTATGTATCTTATTTTGTTAAGCATGAGATAATATTTGGCATCAATGCAAGATCCTTTTCCTTTGTCTCAATTTGAGATCCTCAGCTTGAGCCACATAGTTCAAATGTTCTTATTTGAACAGAAACGAATTTCCCTTATATATTTGTTCATTATTGATTAAATCATGAAAAGTAGGTTATAGGGTAATTAATTTTGCAAATCTGTTAAAAATAATTTTCTGAAATTGTCACAAAAGGCAGTTTGTAAAGCCAGTCATGGGGGCATATACCCAGCTACTCTCTAGGCTAAGGCAGGAGAATTGTGACTTCAGAGCCAGCTTAGGCAAGTTAGGAAGATTCTGTCTCAAAATAAAAAGAAATGGGCATGTGGCTCAGTGCCCCTGGTGGGCAAGGAAGGTGCCAGTGACTAGAAGGCAGCCATGGTAGTACTTGTTAGAGCACATGGGCAACTTGGAGTGTTTGCTTTCCCCTTTTCCACCCAATGCCCATCAGGGTCGAGAGATGTCTCTCTGGGATAATATGATTGATTACATCAGAGCCATTGTTCTGGAACTAGGTTGCATGCTGGGTTCTATTACTGAAGTAATATTTTATTCTAATGCAGATAGAATAGGATAGAACAGGATGATAATATCTTTGGAGAAAATAGTCTTGTTGATGAGCTGTTTTATGTTGCCTACTGGAATTTTGGATTTAAAGATTTTTGCCAGATATGGTGGGTACATACCTGTAGTCCCAGCAGTGGGAAAACTGAGGCAGGAGGATCACAAGTTTGAGACGAGGTGGTTAACTTTGTGAGATACTGAGTGCCCACCACCAAAAAAAGGAAAGCTAGGAATATAGCTCAGTGGTAGAGTGCTTTCCTAGAATGTACAAGGTCTTAGGTTTAATCTCTAGTACCATACCCCCCCCCAAAAAAAATCACATAAAAGGAAATGTAGTTTTCTAATTTGGATCCTGTAACAGGTAGAAAGAATTACTTTTATTGCTGGAAATTGCCTAGTTCTCAAACGTTATGAAAGTGTGTTGGAATTTTTTTTTTTAATGGAGACATTTATATCCTGTTAGATATCTCTTGACATTTGTTTAAAACCTGACCAACTTGCTGGGCATGGTGGCATAGATCTGTAGTCTCAGCTAGTCAGGAGGTTACAACAGGACCATTACAAGTTCAAGGCCAACCTGGGGAACTTAGCCTGCCCTTAGTCACACCTTTAAAAAAATAAAACATAAAGAAGGGCTGGGGATACTGCTCAGGGGTAAGAGCTCTTGCCTAATAATCTTGAATCCCTAGGTTCAATCCCTAGTACTGCAAAAAAAAAAAAAAATTAAGAAGGGAAAATAAAACAACAACAACAAAAAGGCATAGGCTACCTAAGTCTGGAGTATGTTCAGAAGTTACTTAGGTGACTGTCAAAGAAAGAATGTTTTCTGGAAGAAAAAGTTGATGTCAGCAAGTTTGTTACCTTCTTTCTATGCCCCAAGGAACTTTAGCCTTTCTCATTCTTGCTATAATGTTTTTACTATATGATACGTGGAAGAGATGACTTTTTTAGATTGTGGCAAAGTAGTTTAAGTTTTTAGAAGAGTTGGGGATTTTAACATAACAGATTTGTTGAATTGCTAACTCTAGTTATTCTAGTTTGATTTTTAGAGCCATTTAATAATATCTAAGCTGTTTGAAATATTGATATCATTCATTGTAAATATTTTTATGATTTTTAAGGTCTGTGTAGAACATATCATTTTTCTAAAATTTATTTATAAAATACCTTTATTGTAATTTCATGTTAAATATGCTTGTTATTACAGCAAGTTGGTATTGATAGAGGTGACATACCAGACCTTTCACAGGTAAATATATTGTTAAAATATCAATTCACTCTACTTTGTGTATGATATACTAAGATGAGAAATGTATAGCCCCTACTGCAGTTTTATTTTTCCTTTTTTTAGTCCCTGCTGTCACATCAGTATAATTTTTGATGATTGACATACTGCTGAAGTTTGTTCTAACATTATGACCACATAAAATTACCTGCTCACTCTACACACTGTACTGTTCCTTTCAGTCTCTTCTATCATCATCAAGAAAGTATAAAAGAAAAAAATAGAAGACTGAGAGAAATCTATTTTACAAATTTTCACTATATTAATGGTAGATAATTATTTAATGTTTATATAATAAAAATAAGATTGTCATTATCATTCGGTAGCTAAAAGTCTAATGTTAGTGTGTGAAGAACATGCCTATTTTGTTGCTCTTTTGTTAAGATAGTTCTTACTTTATTTTAACCAAAAGCCTGATGTTATGAAATTCTGAATGTTTGTATAATTTCAGGCCCCCAGCAGTCTTCTTGATGCTTTGGAACAACATTTAGCTTCCTTGGAAGGAAAGAAAATCAAAGATTCTACAGCAGCAAGCAGGTACATTATTCTTTATGGGGCAAAGAATGGGAGTGATTTTTCTTAGAAAATGGATGAATCCAGCTCAAGTTCCAAGTTACTTAATTTCTCTGTGTCTTGGCTTAATTAACTGTTAGATCGGTTTTTGTATTAGTCTCATAGAACTGGTAACAGGGTTAATGAGTTAGTACATGTAAGTTTGTAGAATAGTTTGTGATTCTTAAATATCAGCAGTTAAATGATGATGCCTTGGTTTAGAATTGAGTTTATAATGTCAAAAGTTTTCATAAAGATGGTAATAGAGTGGTTTGTATGGTGCTTTATAATTATAAGATACTTTTGTATTAATTATATATTCAATCCCTTTATAACTTTGTAAAGTATGTAGTAGTAATGTTGAAGCTCAAACATAGGATGTCTGACATCAGATTTCATTTTTTTCTAATGCTGGTTATGGGATTGATTGTTGACATGTCATTTCATTTTAGTTTTTAATTAAAGCTTTTTAGTAGATAATGGCAGTATATAGTGATTACATTCATTGTTGGGAGTTAGTACATGTACATACATAACATCTTAATTCTTTTTACTTTCCTTCCCTCTTCTCTTCCATCTCTAGATCCCTTTTCCATTTGCAAAAGATCTGTCTCTCTCTGTCTCTCTCTCTCTCTGCATCCAGTTATATCCATCCTCGATAATCAGTTTAAGTTTTTAGCTGATTCTCCATTTAACATTCAAATTGGAAATAATACAGATCCTCGCATCTCAGTCTTTTAACATAGTTTCTGTGTCGAGTAATTACTTGAGTAATTCATATTTTTTATCTTTATTAAATTTATTGGTACATTTTAAGTATACATTAATCATTAATCATTGGGATCATATTAATCATAGGGATCTTGTACCTTTACATGATTATCTTGGTTCTTACTTTTCCCCATCCCCCAGCCCTTCCGCCCACCCTCTCCACCCTTCCCTGTTTACAAAGACCTTGTTTCCATGTTTTTCCTTTTCACATATTTTTTCTTTTCCCTTTTTACCTTTCCCCTATCCCTCCCACTTCCTCTCCTCTTTTAGACTTTTCTTCCTATTACACACTATCAATTACACATTTTAATTGTTATTTATACTTCACACTAGAGAAACTATTCAGTATTTACACGTGTGACTTAACTAATTTCACTGAAGAATATGGCCTCAATGTGCATCCACTTAGCTGTAAATTTCTCTAGTTTCTTGTTCTTTATGGCTGAGTAGCACTCCATTTTATAAAATCACCACATCTTTATGCAGTCTCCAGTTGATGAGCAATTGGGCTGTTTCCAAATTTTAGCTATTACACATCATGCTGCTATAAACATAGGTATGATTCTTTTAATTCTTTTGGGAAGAAACCTAGCAGAGGAATGGTGTGTTGAATTTTGTCAAATGCTTTTTCTGCATCTAATGAGAGGATCATATGTTTTTTGTCCTTGATTCTGTTAATATAGTGTCTTACATTTATGGATTTACGTTTGTTGAACCACCCTTGCATCCCTGGTATAAATCTGACTTGGTCAGGGTACATGATCTGCTTGATGACCCTCTGTATTCTCTTTGCCAGTATCTTGTTGAGGATTTTTACATCTGTGTTCACTAGGGAGATTGGCCTGTAGTTCTCTATTTTGGTTGGGTCTTTCCCTGGTTTTGGAATTAAAGTAACACTTGCTTCCAGGAATGAATTTGGAAGCATTGCTTCCCTTTCAATTTCACTTTAGAGTTTAAGTATTGGCAGTAGTTCTTCTCTAAACGTCTTGTAGAATTCAGCATTGAAGCCATCAGGACCTGGGCATTTCTTTGATGGTAAATTTTTAATTACATTTTTCAGTTTCACTGATTATAATTGGGGTGTTTAGAATTTTTATATCTTCTTTGTTCAACTTTGGTAATTCATATGTATCTAGAAATCTGTCCATTTCTTCTGTGTTCTCCATTTTATTAGAATAGCGGTTCTTGAGGTATTGATGATCCTCTGGATTTCTGCTGGATCTGTTGTGACATCCCTGTTTTCATTCCTAATTGCATGAATTTGAGCTTTTTCTTTCCTGTCTAAATCATAGTTTTTAAATTAAGATGTCCTAGCCAGGTTGGTGGTGCATGCCTTTAATCTCAGCACACACTCTTGAGTCAGAAGATCACCATGAGTTTGTCAAGGCTACCCTGGGCTACACAACATGGCCTTGTCTCAAAAAACAAAATTAAACAAAAATATTTCCTTTTAATAGAAAGAGGTATAAGAAGAATCTTTTAAAAATATTTTTTGTTTTGGGCCTTTTTTTAGTAATAAAATTTAAATAATTTCCAAAGGAAAAAGCCAATGAATTTTAATATTTACTTTAACTTCAGATGTGCACTTTGAGTTTGCGGATAGTTTTAGAAGTACTGTATTAGTCAAAATGTTAAAATACAGCTGTTTGAGAAAATAATGAAAAATACAGCCCTATAGTTCAGATATAACAATTTGCCTTGATGTTTATCATATAAAATCTGTTGAGTTTCTTGAGTTTATGTCATAATTTAATTTTTTTCCTGTCTTCTGAATTGTATCTTTTTATTGGGTCGTTTATAATATTTATTTTACATAAAAGTCTAATAGTTTTTGTTACTTTACATAAAATAGAAATTAATGACAGTTTGTGGTAAGGAATTTAAAGTCATGGTAATTCTCATTGGAATTCTTTAATTATGTAGAGTTCTGTAGAATTTTATCAAATATTATATAATTAAATGTTGGGGTTTATGGTATGGATAAATCTTTGATCATGGGGAAAGGAGGTGGCTTACTATGAATTTGGTAGTGAGAGATGATGTATTGTGTATGTGTAATAAATTTAAAAGGGATACTAATTTAGGTGAAGGGCAGTACCTAGAAAGGAGGTGCCAGATAAACCAGTGACTAGATTGAAACTCCTCTGCTTTTCAAGGAACTTGAAGTCCTTTTCATTATTGTTATGGGGAAGCATATGTAGGTATACATTGCTTATTACGGGTGTTCATGTTTTGCTGTTATTTTAATAGCATAGCCAATCCCAGCTATAAATTAGTAGATGGTATTTTTCTGTGAGAACTTCAGTACTTGTATTCATCAGGACTTTTTGAGAATTTGAGGGTTCTTTCCTAATTGTATTGGTTCCCTTTCCTAGGGCTTAGAAGAAGCAGTGTGCTTCACTCTTATGAGCCCTTCCCAAAGTCTCATTAATACTTATCCTAAAAGCAGTGATGTGTTTGTATCAACAATGTTACAGTTGATATACATACTCTTGTCGGTCACTGGTTGGAATATTCTTCTGAAGTACTGGTCCTGAATCATGACCTAAATTGGCAGCTATGGCCTATATATGACAGGATTACCACATTATTTTATGACGTGGATATAATGTGAAGTGTCTGGGAAAATGTCAGATTACCTTTGTCTACTTACCCTAGGGCCACAACACTTTCCAATGCAGTCTCTTCCCTGGCAAGCACTGGACTGTCTCTGACCAAAGTGGATGAAAGGGAAAAGCAGGCAGCATTAGAGGAAGAACAAGCTCGTTTAAAAGCTTTAAAGGTAGGTATATATGTATTCTCTTTATTTGGAAAACAGGTACAGACATTCATTAAGTAAATGGAGCTTTACATAGACTTATTTGTAATGTATAGCTATAGTATGGGCTGAGGCTCAGTCTTAATTTTTTCATCCAGACATATGAAATGTGATCAAACTATGCAGTGAATGAGTTCTTGAAAATGTGTTACAGTAAAAGATATATCCTACCGATAATACCTTTCACAATACTCCCCTTCACTTTTAACACAATTATTCCATTATTCTTTGCCACTGTATGAAGCATTTCTGGACTTCTTGTTTTGCCTCTGTCTTTCTGAGGAGTTATTGGAAATGTGGTGAATACTACTGCTGAGTTCTGTCCAATGGAAAGACAAGCTGGTAAAAGCATTATGATGTGTTCTCTTTACCTTATTAACCAAATCTGTCATCAAGAAACTTCTGGCTCTTACCCTAATGTCAAAATGATCATGAATGGTAAATGTTTTGAATAGAGGCAAGTATTAACTGCTTAAGTATAGACACTCACAAAAGAGGACTTTGAAGAATGTTATGCTATTATGAGGGTATCGATGATGTGTCTTTTGCTGTAATAACATTTTAATTGAAACATTCACTATTTTTTTTTATCACATCTCATAGAATGACTCACAGAAAGAGTCAAGCAATAACTTTTTTGCTATCAAAACCATTACACTATGCTTTTTTTCCAGAAGTTCAATAAACAGATCTGATCTCTGGATTTCTTATTGTACTTCCCCTTCTTTTTTTTTTTTTTTTTTTTTTTTTTTTTTTTTTTTTTTTTTTTTTTTTTTTTTTTTTTTTTTTTTTTTTTTTTTTTTTTTTTTTTTTTTTTTTTTTTTTTTTTTTTTTTTTTTTTTTTTTTTTTTTTTTTTTTTTTTTTTTTTTTTTTTTTTTTTTTTTTTTTTTTTTTTTTTCCTTTTTATTGAGTTTATTGGTACAATCTAGGTATGCAGTACAGTTACATTTGTTACTGGGATTCTGTACCTTCACATGACAGGTCTTGGTTCTCATTTTTTCCCCTTGCTTCCCCTTTCTTAATAGGAACAACGCCTAAAGGAACTTGCAAAGAAACCTCATACCTCTTTAACAACTGCAGCCTCTCCTGTGTCCAGCTCAGCAGGGGGGATAATGACTGCACCAGCCATTGACATATTTTCTACCCCTAGTTCTTCTAACAGGTACACAGAGTGATTAAGATTTATATGCAAAGACTTCCAATAGAAAATTGACCAAAAAATAAATAAATAAGCAAGTAAGTAAGTAAATGAATAAATAAATAAAGGGGCTGGGGATTTATCTCAGCAGTTCAGTGGCCTGCCTTGCAAGCGCAAGGACCCGAGTTCAATCCCAGGTACCAAACAAAAACAATTAGAAAATTGAAGAGACTGTTTGGTTTACTTTATGATTTTGTACTCTCACAAAAGAGATAGTGATACAAGGTGTAATTGGTATAGTATCTAAAGTGATAAAAGCTTATATTTTGCATGTTGAAATGGAAGATTCCTAAATTACTAGTTAATAGTAATTGGAATATAGTTTAGGAAATCAATGTTTTTCTAAGTCATTGAGTCTTTCCAAGAAAGCTGTTTGTTACTTCAATCCTTATAAATTTAAAATATAGTGTTGGAATATTTTCCCAGGTCTCTTTAGAGATACACACATAGTTACATGAGGGGCGTACAACTGTTACCTTGCTGAAACTTCCTCTCCTGCAATGTATATTCCCAGAGTTGGGGTGCTGGGAGGTGTGGCAGCTAATGTAGCAAGGTTTATCTAGAAAATAAAACATCTTCCCCACATACTTTCTTAGCTCATCAAAGCTGCCAAATGACCTACTTGATTTACAGCAGCCAACTTTTCATCCGTCTGTACATCCTATGTCTACTGCTTCTCAGGTAGCAAGTACATGGGGAGGTGAGTATTAATGAATTCTGTTTTAAACAAAGATATCTTCTCCCTGTATGAGGTGTTTCATTTATTAATGTAAGAGACATGAGAACTTAAAAATATTAGAGTGGTAGGGGCTGGAGATTTAGCTCAGTGGTTCTGCTGCCTGTCTCGCAAGCACAAAGAGCCAAGTTTGATCCCCGCTACCAAAAAAAAAAAAAAAAAAAAAAAAAAAAAAAAATTAAAGTGGTAATGAACTAATTTTATCTCTTGAAGATATTTTAAATATAATTTATGAATTTGTTTCAATTATAAAATAAGATTTAATGAATGTGAAGAGGAAGGACTCCTACTTAAGTGTGAAATCATTTTTTAATATGAATTTTGCTTTCATAATCAGAAAATGCATAGTGCATGTTCTTTTAATATAGGAAAAAAAGCCATAACTCCTTCCTTGTAAGGAGTAGTTGATAACGTTTTTAATAAGACTCAGATTCTATTATCAGGCAGCAAAGTATGTTGTGACAATACAATTTCATATACCTAGTACTACTTGAATTTTAAATGTTAATTTAATTCAAACTTGTAAGATTTTTGGTATTCAAAGAATTTTCTTCTAGTTCTAACTGGAATATTAGCTCCCTACAAGTAGCTCTTTGATTATAAGGTGATTGTGTCATGATTGTGACCAAAGCCTACCATCTTTGGAGGAAAATACTTAGTCACTGCTAGTTTTTACATGGTTTTGTTTAGACATCTAGTTTTCAGATCATCTCCTTTGCTTGGTTTTAGTGTTTCTGCTAGTATGTATAGTACAATTTTATAAAGTCACCAAAAATTCCCAGAAATGTATGAAAGGATATGAGAGAATGACAAGATGTATTACAATTCATATGAGCTTATCTCTCATAGCACAGATTAATTATTCTAGTAAGTTTTAACAGTACAGTATATTTTTGTTTATTTTTTTAGAGACTTCTATCTATCTGTCTTGCTACATGGTCTGGGCTGGCCTTGAGCTCACTATAATAGCTTAGGTTGGCTTTGAATTCCTGGCAATCCTTCTGCTTCAGCCCCGCAAGTGTTGGAATTACAGACATGCACCATGACTGTCCGGCTTCTATTCATTTTTATAATTTGTATTTTAAGATTTTTTTATTTTTTGGTAACTTTTTTTAGACACTTTAATATTTCCATGTAAGCTCTGAAAACAGGAATTTTTTTATGTTGCTATTCTTTGAGCACTTCGTAATAATTCATAAAGGAACTTTGTAAACAAGTTCATAAGATAAATGTTTTGTTGAAGAAGTGGCCATTTATCTACTCAACAGATTATTTCTGTTTTAATTAAGGTAATACACCTGACAAAAATAATGAAACATTAAAATGCTAGACTTTTAGACTGATTTTGTGAGCTTTAACTTGATTTTTAAAACTAATGGACTATGAGAGGTAGTTTAATTTAGCAAAATCTTAAGATCTAGGAGTAATTTTTAAAAATAAGATAGTTAAATTATGTTATATTATAAGATCCTAATGGTGTAATTGACAATGTGAAATAAGAAAAGGGCTAAAGGTGTAGGGGAAGTGGGAAGGGTAGGGGAAAGAAATAAGGGAAAAGAAAAAAATATGAGAAAATGGAAATAAAGTTTTTTTAAATAGGGAGGGGGTAAAGGGAGGGCAGAGGGTATGGGGAAAAAATGAGAGCCAAGACCTGTCACGTAAAGGTACACGATCCCAATGATGAATGATGAATGTAACTTCACTGTATACCTAAAATATACCAATGAACTCAATGAAGAAGAAAAAAAAATCTTATTTTATAATTCATAATAAACCATAGGCAGCAAAGTAAGCTTTCTGAGAAAGGAGTTTTTTAAAATATACTAACAAGTCCTGATTTTAGACTACCTACAAACTTCATATTATTGTTAATTGCTTTAGAAAAGATTGTAAAATTAATGGACCATTTAGGCAGTTTTAACTTCACTTTTTTTTTTTTATATATATATTAAGGCTGAAAATTTTCTTTACATAAGGCTTAATGAATCTAGTATATTTAACAGTTCAAAGAAATTGAACTGTTAAATTATTGTTTTGTTTGGATAAAATATGTGCTGTTAGTTCTGACATGACAAGTTAAAAGTCTATGCTTGCAGTGGTGTGAACGTCTGAAAACAGACTGTTAGTTGTGGGAGATGATTTTAAGTAATAACAATCTATAAGAATTGTTCTGGCTGGGTGTGGTGGCACACGCCTGTAATCCCAGCACTCCGGAGGCTGAGGCAGGAGGATTGCTGGGAGTTCAAGACCAGCCTAGGCTACATAGTGAGTTCCAGGTCAGACTCAACTACATAGTGAGACCCTGTCTCAAAAAAA